TTTAGCTCAATTACTGAGGAATTTGTTCTGTGATGATGAGGGAAGTACTTCTCAGAAACATCAGACGACAGTTCTGAAGACAGGATGTTTTTTATTATCTTAATTAGATAAGATTAAGATTTACGAGAGAAACAAAAATTGTCTGTTGCTATCTTCGTTCCTCTGTGTCTGTGTGTGTCTGTGTGTCTGTGTGTCTGTATGTCTGTGTGTCTATGTGTCTGTCTGTCTGTCGCGCTCTCACTCATTTTCTCAAATGAGACTCTCCCCTCACTGGTCTACCATTCTCTAAGCCTAGACGCATTCGTGACGCAGTAATCCCTTATTTAATGACAAGGTCGAGCGAGTGCTTTTCATGACGCCATATGATGCAATTCTCTCTCATCCTTTCTCCTTTCCGTCCTCCCTACCTACCATACTTCTTCCAACCCATTAACTCTCCCTCTCGTCCTCCCTTCCTCCAACTTCAGTCTCTCAATCTCCCTCCCTTCCATTCTTCCTCGTGTTCAGTCTCCCTTTCTTTCTCCCAGTGGTCAAAACATGCTTGAGTAACATTGAATTAAACTTGAACCAACATTATTGTCGTTGAAGCGACGTTGAATCAACATTATTGCCGTTGAATCAACATAAATACTAAATATTAATGAAGAGGCCTGAAGAACGAATGAAAGCCAGAAAAATTGACACAAGCAGAGAGATAAGTAGACTGATAGCTTGAGAGATTAAAACAAAATTGCGAAAATATTCGTCCTAGCTTGAACGTGAACCATATCCTGTAAGCCAGCCAGCTCACTTCAGTACCAACCCATCTACTGTAGAGAGAGGAAGCTGGCATCTCTGTCTTGTGCACCAAGGCTATACGACTAGAATTCGAAGATATTGCTATAGTCTCGGTAGATTCAGTATCAACACTTGTTCAATACAGCGGCAGAGTGAGTGAACATAATATTTTATTGTGAGGAGCAAAACGGAACTGTGAACTGCCTTTGGTGTTCCACCACCACCACTAACTACTACCGTTTAGTTGGTGGTAGCGTGACAACTACTGTTCAGCAAGCGGTTGCATGGCAAAGATTGTTTGCTAACACCAAGTGCAGCTGCTGGAGACTGGCTATATAAGCTCTGAACTAAATTACAATTCATAAAAGACCACTGTAATGGCATAAAGTGAACTTGATATCTGTAATTTTTACACCAACAGTAAATTGACAACCTAAATGTTTGAAACAACGCCTTCGGGTTAAAAGCTAGAGAACAAACACTTCTAAAAGGAACGATATCAAAGTAATTAGATTCACTGAAGGACTTTTATCAAGGGTGAAATAAACGTAAATATATGGTCTGGAGGTCTTGCACCGAGGTATGTTAAATTTGTCTCCATAGGCTTTCATCTACTCTCTAATTTGGTTCTTTATTCGAGTTTGTTAGATAGTATAACCGGTTTTTGCATACGCAAAACGTGATGTCTTAAGAGAGGGTTTTGAAGGACAACCAGTTTACATGAGAGGATTTTAAAGCATAAAATAGTGTTTCATTATCAAAACTCTGGAGATCGGAAATTGCATTTGAAGACCAAATGAATGACCAGACACAGATAATGGTGCACGAAGCGCATCAACAGTGTGAGCAGCTCCGTGGACGTAGGTAGTGATGGTGGACCCAGGAGATGGCCCAGTAGTGGGTCACATGTATCAAATACTATACATGGGGTATTTGGAACTTGGAATATGACCTGCAATCCTTCTTAAAGTGAGACATGGTTGGGGTCGACCCTGACCACTCTATGACGCTCTGCATGCAATCACAAATCACCATGCAAATTTTGTAAGGCTAGCCCCAAGCATCTAGCATTTAACCAAAGACTCTCGAACAAACAGATATTCTCTTTTATAGATATGAATAGGCATGAGATGAACTGTTCTCGTTGGAGTTTGGTTTATAACCAGTCGCTTAGAGGACATTCATTGCCATCACTAAGGCCACGTCCAGGACCATTGTTCTTAAAAGTTGATGACGCACTATTTTGGGTGTTGAGAGGTCGACATTAACCTAACATTTGCACTTTTGTCTTCAAAAAAACTTCATGAATAATTTTTTAGATAATACTAATATAGCCTCCATTTTCTCCTACGGCATACTTACGGCATCTCGGGCTAAAGCTCCGTTAAATATTTCTTTCTTGGTATAATCAGTATCTTCATATATCAATCGCTGTTAGTGTTATGTCTAGTTTAGTTACAGGCTTTTAATCTATCTTGAAGCAGGAGCTTTGACTCACAATGTTTCTTCTTGAAAAACCTCAAAAAGCACGAGCTGAGTAATCAACCAGTGAGAGAATAGGCTTCATGTAAACACTTTTTATTTTGATTTGTCCGGATCTTGGGTTTGACCCTGTGATTGTGCTCAACCGGGGTTTAACTTTTTCCCTCGAATATTAAATTTGCTTGTTGAGTAAAATTCTAAAATAAATCTACACTCCCTGATGGTGATATTGTATAACCCACCTAACAACAACAATGGACCATAAACGGGCTCTGGGCAGGGAAGATTCCTGTCCTTAATTGTTTGCTCCTATTCAGTCAGTAGAAGTAATCTTAGACTCCACTGTTAAACGATTTCGGATTAGTTTCATTGAAAACTAGTAGAGTAATGCCATAAAGTGAGGAATTAAGCCTTGTAGCAAAAATCAAGTCACCTGCTTCTATATCCCCTTTTGCAAACAAATACTTTATTTAGGGTTTTGTAGATTAACAGGTCCTTCGATAACGACTATGTAAATGCAGGGTCTTGTTTCCTTTTCTTCCTGTAGGTACTGATGGCTTCCAGACTCACCTGCAGGTGGCTCAGGTCAGGTCTCCTGGGATTCGTGTTGTTTATGATATGGCGCCTTCAGTCGGTAGGTGAAGATGATTGGAAGCCGAACACTGCAATACGCGATCTGGACGATGATGTCAGCTGGGGAGGCATCAGCACCAGCGGCCACAGTACCAGTGACTCAAAGGATGATGTCAGCTTTGCATATGGAACAAACAGCGACTATTCTCCTAACAAATACGTTAATGGGCTTCTAACAGAAGAGACCACTCAACACTCAAGTGTTGACAGCCGGCCGACGAGTTCTGTCGAAAGGGATCCATTGGGTGTCAGTGATTATAGTGATTACAACTTACAGTTATGTGAACATCCTCCGTCGGTGTTCTCACTCTCGTACAATGGCAGCTCAGACGCTGTTTGCGCTGGAGATAAACTTCCTACGTTCAAATTTAACTCAACTTTCTCTCTCTGTAATAATTTGTCCTCAATAACATTTGGCCACGATAATGTGCATAAGGTAATACTAAATACCAGGAAAAAGAATGAACAGTTTGTAATATTATATGACGATGATTACATCAATCTCTGCTTACCTTTGTTCTTGAGGTTTAATGTGTGCTTTAACCAGACATTTTTTACTATGTGCTACGAGGTTTCGGGCCTGGGCTGGGAACGACTTACCGCCTATGTATTCTTCCATTCCAAGCAATGCCCACTCTCGGCCTCCATGCATTATGACCATTGGAAAATAATTATGCATCGTTATGTCGATGGCGACGTAGAGTGTATAAGAAAAATTTGTCATGGTGACCATAGATTTGAAGACGGTGAAGTAGCAGGTATTCGATTCCGAATAACAAACTTTAATTTGCATATTAATGGTAGTTACTGTTTTACTTATAATGACTCTTTATTCTTTCGTGAAGGGAATGAAACAAAATTGTTATCTTTTAACTTATATTGGCCTTGCTGCTACCCAGGTTATACTGTTGCGTGGAACGGCATCCCGGAAGAACACGGCTTGAATGGTCGGTGGAGCTACCTGCCGCTGTCGTGTCAGGCAGGCGAGGTGGTGCTGATGGTGGTGGTGGCGTGTGTGGGGGTGAGCGGTGTGGTTGGGAACCTGGTGGTGGTGGTAGTGATGGTGAGCGGACCACACCGGGGTCAGGAGTCCAGTATGCTCCGCACCTCCCTCGCTTTGGCCGACTTATTCGTCGCTGCCTTCGTCGTTGTCCCTTCACTATATCACCACTTGAAACCATTCCTAGCATATCCAGTTATTGTTGTGGATCTAGACTCAAACAGCAGTTATAGTGGGCTGACGGTTAACTTATTTTTTTTTCCTGATAATACCGAGAGCACCCAACTTTTCCAGGCATTCTTGTTTTGCCAGTGCTCCATTGTGTCGTTGTTGACGGTCTTTCTGCTGAGCATCGAGAGGCTGGTGCTGACCAGCAGGGTCCTCAGGTACCACCATTACTTCACAGTGACGCGGGTGAAGGCGGCCATAGGCTTAACCTGGATCATCGGCCTCCTCGACTCCCTCATCTTCATGTACCATGAAGACGGCTACTTCGCCGCTCTCTGGTCCACCTTCAACAAACTTCCGCTCCCTTGGGCATTTGCCTATCCAGATAATATTTTATACAAGACGGTTTATTATAGCCAGCTTGTGCTACTGGGGGCCGTCGGAATCTGTACTTTTTTATTTTCGACTCTGGCCATCTGGAACTTCCTGAAGGAACAAGCGAGAACGGCTTCCGAATGGCGGGGGATGAATATGTTTATTTATGGGCCGATGGCTGAGGAAAACCGTCGCAGCTTGATGACGCAAGTGCTCATCACCGTATGTCATCTTATTTCCAGCGTCCCTTTACTCGTTGATGTGTTCATCATATATCTGTCGCTAGAACTTTCCTTCAAGTCTGTACTTCGTTCCTACATCTGCTGGTGGCTCTTCCTGTGTGGGACAGCCTGGAACCCCTGGATCTACAACTCACTTGGTCAACAGTTCAGGAAAGACGCAACTCTGGTGTTCAACAAACTGCTGCCGGATGCACTGAGGAGAAGACTTCGGCCTCGGGAAGTTCCTTCTCAGGACGCTGGAGGAACAGGTGATGCTCGTACTCGTGTCAGACGCAGGAAGATGCTGTTAACTCTGGGACTGGAAACACGAGACTAACATCTGACATTGTTCCTTCTACTGATGTAATATTTGGCCAAAATGTAAGTGTAACATCCCATTTAATTACCATAAATACAGAGCTGCATATATCTTGTAATCACATACTTGTGTTCCTGGTGACAGGGCGTAAGGTCTTGGATTCCATCCTTTAATTGTCTGGTGCAAATTTTCATATTTATAGACACATCGAACACAAGACGCTTCACCAAAGGATTTTAAAACCTACCTAACCATATCACACTTAACCCACCCTAACACAAACTGGCATAACTTAACTCAACCAATCTTAAATAAGTCTAACCAAAGTCTAAGTTTTACCTGACGATACTTACAGTTTTAAGAATCAGAGAAAGAACTTTGTAGTAGTCATGTGGACGATTAGACCATACAACTACTAAACTTCCTTTCTCGTATTTGTTGTTTTACATTCAGCTACTTGGAACAAAAAGTTCCAAGTAGCACGGGCTATGGTGAGCCCGTAGTGGACTTACCTGGCACAGGAGCGGGGCTGTAACTTTGGTCATTTCTCGTATGTATTGGTCTTTTTATATGAAATTTTACCACACAATATTACCTCACGTCAAACCACCTTACACCATATACCCACACCTTATTATAAGGTACCAAATATCATCACAAACAAGCCCAATTCAGCATATCACCATACACCACATCACCACACGCCATGTGTCACTCCACATCACCACACACTATATAATCTTTATCCACATCAGATTAAACAATACACTATACACACACCATATCCAGAAAAAACGAATACAATAGGCGACTTGCATCTTATTTTTGTCCCATCTCTATTTCAATGTAGGCTGCTCTTTTTCTGCTTTTCCTACCAATTTCCAGGCTCTTGAAAAGGGCTCTTTCCTTTCTCCTCCCCTTCTCATCCTCCGCTCTCTTCCCTCTTCACCTACTCTCAATAATAAAACAGATCTAATATTTTGTCACAAAACAAACACAATAACAAACTAAGTAATTATTAAAGTTGAACCGAAAATCTTATCCTGTTGTTGTGGTCTGTTATCTGGCCTTATCGTGGTGGCATTAATAGCTGTCTTCCTGGCTCTCACCAGTGCCAGCTGCTCTTCATAACACGAAGACTTGTGAGTTACACAGAGATAAGTGCCAAATCATGATTGATGCCAAACATCATCATCTTTTCCTGTTCAAAGTGTAACATTCTGAATGATACACGAGAGGCTGTCACGTGAGCGATAACAAGAGTAACGTATGTCGTCTTGCAACATTATCAAGAATCTGTGTTTACATACCATAGTCATGAGACGTTACGACTGTCTTGTGACAGTGGTAACGTAGAAGTCCAGTGTGATGAGGAATGGGACAAGTAGCCTTCTGACAGATATAATGAATGTTAAGTGTGGTGCAGGAAAGGGACATGGTGTCCCCTGACAGTGGTAACGTAGAGATAAATGTAACGCACAGAATAAAGGGGGGAGAAGAGGGAGAGAAATGATTTGGGTTGAAAAGGCGAAAACATTGTTATGGGGAGAGTAATTGGGGTGACGAAAGACGGTGAAGGAATGTGAAATGGATAGTGATGGTAATGAGGAAAGATGGTGAAAGGTTGAGGAAAAGAGACGAAGAGGGTTATCAAAGTGAGTGAAGGGAGAAGGAGAGGGAGATGAAGAGATGAGGAAAAGGATTCTACCCATGTCTCTATATATTACAATGCATTTTATAATAATTATGAGACGCTTTGAATTGACATTTGACCTTCAAGTTTAAAACATATTTATTTATCATATACGTGTGGATGATTCTTATATTTGTAATGTATTCTGACATGTAGAAAAGTTTAAAATTATTTAAATTATTATTTACGTATGAAATTTACTATTGAAAAATAATAATAATAATAATAATAATAATAATAATAATAATAATAATAATAATAATAATAATACAATAATTTTTTTATTAATTACTTACATGTGAGGTCAATTTACATGTAAAATATATCGGAAGTCAACATTCTCTGGAATTGGTATAAATTAGTTGAATTTCTCCTTTAAATTATGTAAAATTAATATTCTAAACATTGATTAATATAGCTTATAGCATCTTCTTTCATTATGTTATTTCATAAGATAATTCAAATTTTGCATAATTTTTAAAATGCTAATGCTTATGCAAATTAATTTTTTACTTGCTGTTTAAACTCGTTTAAAGTTTAAACTGTTTAAACTAACAAAGAGATTCAAAATAGAAAACACAAATTTTAGGGCAAAATAGTTATCACACTCATAAGGATATTTGTTCAAAAATGTTCTAACTATACTGCTCTACACGTAGGAGAAAACTTCACTAAATCCCAGCCCGTCCTCATCAACAAACTCAAAATACTCCTTAATCCAACCGCCTAATTCCCCTGTATATGAATGAAAAACTGTTTACACACGATTGAATTAATGTATACAAAGCCCCTATGATTAATGAAAGATGTACAGGCTTCGTAAGTAGTTAAATAATTGATCAATGAATCCCCACCCTGTTAAGTGGTGTACTTTCCTTTTGGTTCTGAGCCAAATGAGGATAGTACTGTAAATGTAAATGTTTCAGTAGGTGCCTAGCTGGTTGCTCGATAGCCTTGAGTCGTCAACCCGTCCTCGTAATAGCACGTCGCATTTTGACGTATACTTTTCCTAAGGCCAAAAACCATCCTACTAGAAAATGGAAGCAGCTCGCGAAATTGACATGGTGTCCCGTTTTCTGTTTTGGGTCCTCTCGTAGGTTAGGATATGGGCACTTTATCACTCTTTTTTTTTGACGTTGGGAAACCTTAGGAGGACGAGCTTGAGTCATACCGTCGTGTCTAGGGTATTTCTACATGGTAGTTGCTATTCGTTTTTGATTCCGAATGAGTTAAAATTCCCTACCACATTGTGTCACTTTTGTTTTTTGGACAGAAGAAAGTATGGTGAGTAGAAAAGGCAGTGTTGGAACTCTATGTTTAGCACTGCCAACTATTTCAACTAGTTTGGATACTTTACTTGTGTTGTGAGAATTTATCGGCAACAATAATTCTCATTGTTCCTGCCATTAAATTCGTTAATTGGTCAACATACATAACATGGCACGAGAATGAAAATTTGAAATGTTTTTTTGTGGCACTGTGGTTGATTCATATCCTGTGGTAGTGGACTGTTGCCACGGCTTATCACGGTAGCATCCTTAGCCTCCCTCCCGGCCCTCGCCAATGCAAAGTCATCTTCACTATAGGAAGGTGGCCGGTGGCACAACACGCTCAGCAGTGTGTGAAGGTGAGTGCAAGATAGGTGGTTAAGTTCTCGTAAGTGAAAGCCTAAATCTAGGTTAATAACGACGGGAAATAGGTCGTGTTATAATGATGGAAAATAGGTCGTGTTATAATGATGGAAAATAGGTCGTGTTATAATGATGGAAAATAGGTCGTGTTATAATGATAGAAAATAGGTCGTGTTATAATGATGGAAAATAGGTCGTGTTATAATGATGGAAAATAGGTCGTGTTATATCGATGCCTGTAGTGTGTTACCCAATAAGTCGTCTCCAGCGAGTGTTTCAGTACAAGTTAGAATAATGCTGGTGTAGAGAAGGTCGTCTGAGATTCTATACAAAGCAGAAACACATCAAAAGAGACTACTCTCTCCCACCCTCTCTTGAGAATGTGTCATTTCAAGTCAACAGCGAGTAACAGAAAGGTTATGCACATCATTTAAATGCTCAACATTTGATGAATGTCGACTATCTGCAACATAGTTCTGGATAAATAACATGGTCAAAATATGAATAAATATATGGATATTTGCTTTCTGTTGAATGATTGTATTTTGATTTATGAGAAAAAAAGATCTAAACGTTATTGAACGAAATGAACTAAGTTTTTGTAGTTTTTATTTCTATTTTAGATGTTATTAAACTAGCAATTTTGTTTAAAAAATATAATTGTACCTTATGTCTCTGTAAAATTAGAATAATCTTTGTCCAAACTATTATTATTAGTGCTATATCTAAGTACTTATTACCCAGTGAATTTCTGTATTTTTTCAGTATCAAATCAAATATATCTAAATTTGTTCAATTTAGATACATTTGTTAATATTACTGACAAAGTTATTGACAATGACCCAACTATTGAAATATTATTTTTTAAATTCATGTATTTATTTTTGCGTTATTCTTTCACGAAATTACCTCGGTTACAAAAATATGAGTCCTTTATGGACTGGGGTCACTGAGCCATGCAAAGGGCCTGCTGTGTGGATGATAAAAGGCCGACCCAAAAAAGGCATCACATACATCAATAAAGGCCATGTTGATCAGCATACCTTTAAGAACAAGACCATTAAACGATGATTCTTTGTGTTTCTATGTTACTACAGGTACTGATGGCTACCGGATCCAAGTGCAGGAGGCTCAGGTCTGGTGCCTTGGGACTCGCGTTGCTTTTGTTGTGGTGCCTCCAGTTGGTAGGTGAGGAAGATGCCTCGACGCTAGGCAGAGCACGACCTAACTTGAAGGAGACCCGGGATGATGTCAGCTGGGAAGGTACCAACACCAATGGCCACATTAGCACTAACACCCGTGAGTATGACAGTTGGGACGGTGCCAAAGCCAACGGCCACACCACTACAACTCAGTCTCCTCCAGAAATGTTCACACAAAACCGCAGCTTCAGCACCCAGCCTTCTTACGACAAACTGGACTTTTCTAAGCTCGGTTATCATCTTACTGACAAGATGCTTTTGTGCGACCATCCTCCAGCCACGTTCTCACCGTCATTCCTTGGACACTCAGATGCTCATTGCGTTGGTAAACAAAGCTCTTTTGTATTTACCAACACTCTGGGTGTCTGCTTCTCTATGTACTCCATCATGTATAACACATCTGTTGTAGAGTACGATCAATATGAAGTGAGCATCGATAATCAAACATATGTATTATTTAATGACGATGATTTCATAAGCCTTTGCCTACCAATGTTCTTGAGATTTAATGAGTGTACAAATGAAACATTTTTCACACAATGTCAAGATTTAAATAAGAGTGTGGCATTCTTCCATTCCCAACAATGTCCTCGCTCGTTAGTCATGCATTATAACATGTGGTTCTTAGTTTTGTTTAATTATATTATGGGAATTACTGAGTGTATTAGTAATATTTGCAATGGAAATTATACTTTAATTGATGGTCATGCTGATGAACTAAGTTTCCTAATGACTAATATCAATAAAGTTATAGATGGCGCATTCTGCGGCGATCCGGCAGAGTTAACACAATTGTTGGAGTGGAATGAAGAATATTACATCACATATAACATTCACTGGCCTTGCTGCTACCCTGGTTATACTGTGGCATGGAACGGCAGTCCAGAGGAACACGGGGTGAATGGTGAGTGGAGCTACTTGCCGCTGTCGTGTCAGGCAGGCGAGGTGGTGCTGATGGTGGTGGTGGCGTGTGTGGGGGTGAGCGGTGTGGTTGGGAACCTGGTGGTGGTGGTAGTGATGGTGAACGGACCACACCGGGGTCAGGAGTCCAGTATGCTCCGCACCTCCCTCGCCTTCGCCGACTTATTCGTCGCCGCCTTCGTCGTTGTCCCTTCACTATATCACCACCTGGAGCCATTCTTCACCAATGCTAACAACCATGTGTTTCGAGAGACCAACATCTTCCATCTGGAGAATGAGACTTTGCTTCTTACCGTACCTTGTATTGATGAGGGCTTCCGCCTTTTCCAGGCATTCTTGTTTTGCCAGTGCTCCATTGTGTCTTTGCTGACGGTCTTCCTGCTGAGCATCGAGAGGCTGGTGCTGACCAGCAGGGCCCTCAGGTACCACCATTACTTCACAGTGACGCGGGTGAAGGCGGCCATAGGCTTAACCTGGGTCATTGGCCTCTTCGACTCCCTTATCTTCATGTACAACAAAGACGGCCACTTCGCCGCGCATTGGTCCACCTTCAACAAACTTCCGATAAGTTTATCACTAGCACATCCGGAAAACGTTTTCTATGTAACGTTGTATTTCAGTACGCTGGCCTTACTGACAGTCGTCAGTTATTGTTCTTTTGTTTTCTCGTTGCTGGCGATCAGGACCTTCCTGAAGGAAGAGGCAAGAAAAGCTGCCGAATGGAAGGGTATAAACTTAAAAGCATATGGGCCAATGTATAAGGAAAGTCGTCGCTGTTTAGTGACGCAAGTGATGATTACAGTGTGTATCTTTACCACACAGGTGCCTTTACAAATTGACATGTTTTTCATCATCTTGGACCTCCCTCCCAGTATCCAACGTTATCAGCTTCGTTCTTACATCTGCTGGTGGCTCTTTCTCTTCGGGACAGCCTTCAACCCCTGGATCTACAACGCTCGCAGCCACCAGTTCAGGAGTGACGTAAATATTATTGCCGGGTGCACTAACACGTCGTCCTCGAGAGCTTCACTCGCAGCACGGAGGGTGGAGAAGCAGGATCACACCGCGGCCAGACGCAGGAAGATGCTGTTGACTTTGGGACTGGAATCAATAGAATGAGAGCTGATATTTTCCTCTCCGTGCAATGTTTAGCTAAAATTATAATTGTTATGTCTCAAATAAAATAGAGTAAGCTCTTTGTCACTTCTTCTAATTCAATCCACATGTTTACATCTCTACTCTGAAGGAAGATTTGCTTTCTCTCAGTTCACTCATCTGCGTTTCCTGTTTCCAATTGTGCTTTTTCATAGTCCTGTTAATTAATAAAGGTTTTGTTTACCTACTTTGTCTTTGCCTCTTAAAAATCCCCGTTTTCTCGTCTTTGCTCGTGGTATTAAGTTCATTTCTCTTTGGTTTTACTCGTATGTTAGCTCTCATTGCCGGAACCAGCTCTGTTGAAAATTTCTGTGCCTCATGTGTTTTTAACGTTTTTACTGTGAATTCTAAGTTGCTGCTATATATTACAGAACTGTTCTCACATAAACTGCTTAGAGTTTTGGAAATGATTCCTTATCTAGGTTCCTAACACCATTATCATATATGGCAATTTTATAAAGTTATTTTTTATTGCGTGTTTCCTGGTGTCAGACTCATCATGAGGTCCACTCCTGGGACCTCTTCTTTTTCTGAGTATGGCAACTATATTGTACTGCTCCGAAGGTCCTCGATCGTCTACCCATTCTAGGTCTCGTTATTTTACTCCTGTTGGAAATTAATTCCAGGAAGCATGTGGGTATGGCTACTTGTACTACAGCTTGTCAAGTGATAGTTTGATTTCGTCCGGTGGCGTACGTTCCTTTTCTTATGAACCACGTCAACAAGTTGGTTATTACTCCTTTAGTTATGTAATATATGTCAGATAAATTATTATATGTTTCCTTCTCCTTACCCTTATGTGTTTGTGGGAATGAGCTTTTGTCCATGGGTCCCACCCTTCAATAGTGCTATGCAAGGAGGCTGGAGTTGTGGTTTGAATTTCAACTTCATTTCAATTCACGAATAAGTTAATGGAGTTCTTCTTCTTTATGGCACGAGCAATGCATGTGAAGGTATATGCTTGATATTAAAAGGCACTGCCTGGCCCTCTGCAAGGCCATTTCAGTATGAATATAATTTACAAAGAAAGATGACTGTGTCCCACATTTATTAGTGCCACGGATAATGCAACACTGGGCGTGCCAAGTCTCAAGTGCCAAATCAGTATTAACTCTAGTTCAACATTGAGCTAGAGTGAGGGCCACATATTGGTGTGGTTCATTAATGTGCCAATATTAGGGTTAGAATTAAGGGCATAAAATGATCTGATGATGACGGTGTCAGGAGTTCGTGCCACACAGGAGACAATCTTCTCCCAATAGTCTCACTTCATAACGCAGAGTAACAAAAAAGTAGTCTGGGTTCAACATACATTCGTGCAATTTATAAGAAATAGAATTTTGTATACAAGAAACATGGCAGCAAAAGTTTAATGGTTTAATTTAATTCATTAAATAATAATTATACAAAATTAAAAACAAGTTTGTCTAATTCCCAGCAAAATTTAAAGTTAACTCATTCGGATATTCACATTATCTAGCTCAAACACGGACTGCTGGGTTAGACTGACTTTCTTACTTATCGAAATTATTACTTTGTTAATATTCTACAAAATGCGTAAAAAAATTCTTTCCATCTTAGAGATGTCAAATTAACAGTTCACGTAGCGTTCCTATATAAGAGTACTTTGACGTCTCGCCAACAGTGACATCCTATGGGAATATGCTCACGAAGAAGGTAGTGTGCTGAGAATAAGACTATCATCTCTGTTCAAAGGAGAGAGTATCTGTCTGCCTGTCTGTTCAAGGATGGAGGCAAATCGCTTGGAGCTATCCTCACCCAACTTTGCAGAAGGAATGGACTGGGGTTCAGGACGGACATAGGCTGGTAAGGGCCTCCAGAATTCAAGAGGGAACCGTGTCCCAAGGGTGACATTCAGACCCCGCGAGGTTTTTTGGTACTGTTGGCTGGCTACACTTAATTAAAAATGTGGATTTTTTTATAGTAATATACACCATTATTGACTGATCTTGGAAAAAATAACATTTGATAACAAGACAATAGAAAAAATAAAAAAAACCCAGTGATAACAAGACAATAGAAAAACTGAATCCTTGCATCACTGGAAATAAAACAATTCAGATACATTACACAACCGGTAATAATGAGGGAATTGACGCAGTAAGCGGTGGGCTTAAGACACTGGTGGTAACTGTAAACATAGACAAGTTAGAGGGACACAAGGAAGTACTACTTTAGTACAAGAGTAGTGTACAAAAGGAATGACGTAGGGAAAAAGGTTGGCTATACTAAAGTAGATAAGATACAGCATAAGATAATTGTCATTATATTAGCTGTGTTAGGCAACCGTTGGCTTGAAAACTCCCGAAAACACGCTAATACACAAATGTAAAAAAACAGAACTTTTCTCTGCTACTCATACTTTGGCCATATTAGTATAACAAAAAAAAAAAAACGATCCTCCTACAGCTTCAAAGACTTTCTCAAGTCCCTGTCTCTCTATTGAAGCAAATGGGAACTATTACATTTTGTTTATGTTTCACACCGCTACGCTCCTCAAAACTGTGGACCGCCCACATGCCAATGGTAGAAAACTAGTAGTGTAAAGGGGCTTTACAATTGTTATTTAAATGGCTTGCTCAAAAATCATTTAAAGGAAGGTCATCCATATGCTGTATGGTAGAAGTCAAGTTCATTTATATGTTTAATGAGGGAGTAATGTTTGCCAATAAACAGAGAGAGAGAGAGAGAGAGAGAGAGAGAGAGAGAGAGAGAGAGAGAGAGAGAGAGAGAGAGAGAGAGAGAGAGAGAGAGAGAGAGAGAGAGAGAGAGAGGAAAGAGAGAGAGAGAGAGAGAGAGAGAGAGAGAGAGAGAGAGAGAGAGAGAGAGAGAGAGAGAGAGAGAGAGAGAGAGAGAGAGAGAGAGAAAGAGAGAGAGAGAGAGAGAGAGAGAGAGAGAGAGAGAGAGAGAGAGAGAGAGAAGAGAGAGAGAGAGAGAGAGAGAGAGAGAGAGAGAGAGAGAGAGAGAGAGAGAGAGAGAGAGAGAGAGAGAGAGAGAGAGAGAGAGAGAGAGAGAGAGAGAGAGAGAAAGATCACCCAAAATACTCCTAAAAAAACAATTTCTATAAGAGACATAAACAAAGCACGAATATATATGCACACAATCTTCCAACACAGTCAGTCAACACAGTTTGCTTTGAAAGTGCGCAAAATTGGTGAACGTTTTCATGCATAGTAAGGCGAGGTGGCTCCATCAGGCGCTAGGCACACACTGCCTGTATTACCAGGTCTTCTCAACCAATGTATCGAGTGTTTAGTGTGCGTGACGAGACGAAGCCTTTAGGGTGTGATTTACCAAGATGCTGCTGCGATATCTCCTCTTTAATGGGCACGCACGCAACTTAGCACGTGTGTACGTGCCCCAGCGTGGGGGCACGTACACACGTGGGTTCTTATGTAGGTAAATACAATACAACGTTGGGAGAGAGCTTTGAGGTATATCACCAGCCAGATCGGTCTCAAAGCTGAGGACTATGAGTTACGATGAATGCCTACAGGAATTGAACGTCACGTTACTAAACGACAGAAGCGTTAGAGGAGACATGATTACCACCTACAAAATTCACAGAGGTTGAGAAGGCCTGCTATATTGCATGTTAAGTATGCGTACAAGAGGACAGGTGGTAGCTATGTTTTCAAATAGGCCTTAGAGACATCACATATATTTTATCAGTGTAAGAGTAGTGAAGAGATGGAAGGCACTAAGCACTGAGATTGTGGAAAACAGACTCCATACAAAATTTCAGCAAATGTGACAGAGCCCAGAGCCCAAATGTGACAGAGATAGTCACAGGAACCTGTATAGTAATTGCTTAACATTTGAGTGACGGATCTCAAGAACCGAAACTGAACCCCAGAAAGATTCTCCTGGCTCCCATTACTGCAATATATAAATCTCTGTCATGACATAACACTAGGGCATCACAACCAAGTTTTTACAGCGTGGTGCAACTCTCATGTTAAAGGTAATGATGTAGCAGTATTGATTTTGACTCTTCCTCCTTCACTTGTCAACACAGTATCCCAGACTCACGTTCATAGCTTGTTACAATGCCCAAACGCCCTAATTAGCAGCATCCTACCATAGAGAATGTTGCTAATTAATTACTGCTTCATCTATAGTAGCCATTTTACGCCACGCCTTCTCTAATTATATTTGTATTAGTACACAGGTCCCACAAATTATCGCAAAATATTAATCAGAACAGGTCTACGGCACTTAACAAAAGGATGGAAACTGTACATTACGAGGACCTCTTCCTCTCTTCCATTACACTCTTATCTAAATGCATTCTCTTCCTCCTCCTCCTCCTCCAGTCCTTCACAACACTCTTATCTCACCCGAATCTTCTCTTCGTGAACAAACCTTCTGGGAAGATTATTCTATTTCTTAACTAATCGACTTTGCATAGTGCCTGAAGTCTCTTCCTCGTGCTCTTCCAAAACACCGACAGTGATGTAAGTTGCTGAAAATTACCTCCCTTTCTCCTATTTAGTAAATTAAGGTCAATGCGAAGCTTTGATTCACATGGGCTGAACAACTTTTTCCTGCCATTTATTATTGTAAGTGACGACCAAGGCAAAAGTCGAAAGCCCTTTCACCAGACATAATTAATTGGCTCACATGCTTCAGGTTCCCTAAACTTACAGTAGAAATCAGAGCACACCGACCATACTCAATCTTTCTCGGCCAAGCTATTTTTCACGAGCGACCGGAGAAGAGATAACTCCACTCTGGCGTTGCCAAGCATCCTGTGTGGCTGCCTGGTGTCCTGGGAGCCTGTCTAGCTTCTTTGGAGCCTCACTGATACCTTGTGAACCTGTGTTACAGCCTAACAGTCTGTTTGGTACCGTCGGACTCAGTCAGAAACTTTTAGAACCAGTCTGGAACCTTGGGAGTTAGTTTGGTACTTTAAGAATCAGTCCGGCATTATGGGAGAGAGTATGGTATCGTAAAAGCCAATTTAATGCCTTGAATGCCGGTCGAGCATTTAGGCTCAATGATAGTCTGAGATCCAGGGACCTACTCTGGCATTCCGGGAGTCAGCATTGGTAACCGGAAGCCAGTGTGGCACCATGCGACCTGAACGGAACCATGGGAGCTAGCCTAAAATCCTAGAAGCCGATCAGGTATTCTAAAAGATAATCAGACACCATGAAACTAATTCTGGCACTCTGGAAGCTGGGATAGCTTCCTTGGAACCAATGTGGCATCCAAGGAAACAATTTGGTACCATGATTTAATGTTACATAGTCTCCCCAGCTTGGGGTCTTTTTTTTATAATTACTTTGGTACCAGAGCAGACTAATACCTATAATTAAATACCTATAATACCTATAATTAAATACCTATAATTACTTTGGTACCAGAGCAGAGCAGAGCATACTAATAGGGCTCAGTGTGCCAGAGCAGTCTGGCACACTGAGCCCTATTAGTATGGTTAACTGGAACCAGGGCATCCAGTCTACCAATGTTGTAGCACTGATGTAGTCAACCTCTTTCGTGGAGCCAGGTGTGTAGGTCACAATGCCACAACTGGCATGTCTGGGTATGATTTATTACGTCTACCGACGGTGTATACGTCTCTCCTACCTATTAAGAGACACACGCACACTTGTAAATAGGTCTAAAGCACCAAGGATTTATTTTACTACGCCAATAGGGAGACAAGAAGCCAGAATGTTGAATTTATTGTTGTTTTAAGTTTGTGCAGGGAAGTAGAAATCCTAAAGTAGGTCGGCAAAATGGCGCGGCAGCAGAGTAGCATTAAAAATTTGCTCTAAAATCGTTGGAGAGTCGGTGATTGGGCACATGCTAGCAGGAATTGTGCAATTCAACAAAATAAACGAAAATACAGTTATCCCTTGTTGTGTTTGGCTGCTTTGAATAAAGTAAACTCGTGACTATCAATATGTGTATGTACGTAAAATTCTGTTGATGCTTTATCTCAATTAAAATACACGCCCATAATGTGTATGTCAGTGCCTTGTTGACGTGCAGCTTGGGCAGCTGTGAGCACCACGGGGTTAGAGCATTTAGCCATTTACAACTAATACCACAGGTTCCCTCTGCTGTACTGTTACCTCCGAGAGGAATTAACAGCCTCATCGATTGGTGGATTAGGGGCCAGCCCCGGCTCATACTCACTCAAGTGGACACACACACACACACACACACACACACACACACAGTACACACACACACACACACACACACACACACACACACACACACACACACACACACACAAAGCACACACACACACACACTCGCGCGCACACACTCTAAAGGAAGTTGATCACTCTCTCGTGCAACCTTTTCCTGAACAGTTAATCAAAGTCATTGTTTCAATGGGTTGTGCCGATTCTGTTATCTCACTGTTGTCCGAATATGAATA